AAGTCAGCAGGTGCAGTGGACCCGGCGGGGCCACCCACGGGCCCTGAGGTCCCGGGTCCGAGTCTCCTTAGACCCCCCGCTGGCCTCCCGCCCTCGGCCCGGCCGCAGCCACTGATGCCGGAGGATGCAGCACCAGCCAGCCTCTCCCCGGGCGCCGGTGATGCAACCGAGGCTTATAGTTTAACCGTAAAATAAATAATACAAATGATAACAAACCACGAGTCACTAAAGTGAGAAAAAAAGCAAACAAGACAGAAACCCTCAGCTGTAAGGAGAACAAATCCCCGGAGCGGAGGCCGGAGACCTCCCGCTGACCTCGCTGTCTCCCTGGGCCGGGCCTGCTTCTCACCCGGTGCCGGTGCCGGTGCAGGTGGTCGTGCCTTTAGGGCCTCATTGAGATGGGCTGCCCCAGGGAAGAGAGATCCTGACCTCATTATCAGGTTAACTATTAACCCTGCGCTCCATGCAAGGATTTGCCTTTTCTCCCCTATTATTTACTTATATTCTTTAAAATTTAATTCAAAGGCTTAATTTCAAATGCAAGCCTTTAAGCACGTGTGTACACACACATGCACACAGGCACACGCACACAGGCTCACACACACGCACACATGCATATAGGCGCACGCACACAGGCTCACACAAAAATCTGAAGTATCTCTTTGCCCTTTTCCAGTTGCAAGATAAATGAATGTTTACCAACGGCCTCCATCCTCCTCCTGCCCGGCGGGGAGTTTTGGGCTGTTTTCCTATCTGTGCTGCTTATCAACCACTCCAGTAATTCCATCTTTTTGTCAACGTCTTACTTATTGCCTGCCGTTCCATTCAGTATTATTTTAAGAGGGAGGAAATCGGTCACCACTGATGGCTGCCTTTCTGACCCAATTAGGTTCTTTTTTTGATTCACAGAAAAGGCAGATTCCCCCCGCCCCCACCCCACTCTGCCTTCGTCCGTGTGTACAGCTTACCACGGGCTGTCATCAGTGTACGACACGGACCGGACAACGTCTTTGCCGAGGGCTCGGTGCAGCTTTTGCGGCATGGGGACCTCCAGCTCCGGTTTCCTCCGGAGGGAACCCTGGCTGCGCTCTTCCAAGTGGCCACAATACAGTTGTAATTCGTGCTGCCTCTTGGCATGCTTTTACATTCCCCTATTCATAAAACCATGATAGTCGCCCCAGCAACCAGCAAACACACCCCTTTAGAGAAAGAAGATCCAGGGGACACTCACTCTATGGCTGTGAGGTGTACAATGTGCTCATGTTTTGGTGAAGTATCCAAAAACCGTAAAATCACATGAGTAATACGTGATTAATCTGATTTCTTCCCCCTTCTGCTCTCTTTTAAACTTTCAAAATAAATGGACTTATTTTTGGGGGGGAGGGGGGAAGCCAGTTATAGCTGATAGCTTCCTGAATTTTGCTTGCAATTATATTCATACAATATGGCTCTCTCAGCTGTGAGTGAATTACATGAGGAGACTGACACCTCACAGATCTTGGATACAAGAGTCTCCTAAGGCTATTTGGCTATGCCATTGACATGTCAAGAGTTTCAAAAGAAAATGCTAAGGAACTTGAAATAATATTCGCATGTTGCATCTCTCCAGTGGCCATCCCCACCGACTTTCCACAGATGAGAACACTGGTCTAGAGGTGGAGGGAAGAACACTCTTTGTACTGAACTGAACTGGTTTTACACTGCCTGCCGCCAGAAGGACATTTGAAAGCCAGACAATGTCTCTTTTACATCGCTCACAGCCCATTTCATGTTGAGGCCACTTCTCACGGAATTTATATTATTAGCTGATTGTTTTTTTAATATAAAAAAAACCCCTAACCATAACATTTAAAACCTTAGACTTACCCACATTGACCCAAATTGTCACTCTGCCCTTGCCCTTCTTTCTGTGAAAGAAGAAGCTGTCCTTGGCCTGAACACAATTTTAGTGTTGTTTCTTTTTCTTTTGTCTCTTTGTTGCTTGGGGCGGGGTGTGTGTTCTGGCTCAGAAACCCAGGAGCCAGGGACGCTGCCTGGCTAGGCCCTCTGGCCTCGCTCTCCTCTCCGTGCGGTGCGCAGGCAGAAACAGGCTGCCGGGCCCGCCTGCCTCCCCAGTGCACATCTCCGTATTCTTTGAGCCCCACAGGAGAACACACATTTTGGCGTTTATTTCTCTCAATGATAAATGTTTTTGTTTCTCGATTATAAGTGTTTTCGTGTTCCTCCTTTTAAACAAAGAAATCTTCTGAATGGAACTGCTCTTTGCATTATTACCCTTAGTCCCTAGAGCCTTTACTTTGGTCCATTCATGGTATATAGGTAACTGTGCTTTTATTTTTTTTTTTTAACTAATTTAGAAATAAGTGTGCCGTTAAAAACAACAACTTGACAATGGGAGGAAGAATTGCACTTCTTACAGGGCGGCTTGTTTAGTGTGTTATTGTATGTTTCGGAAACTTCTGGGCACAGGTATATGGATTATGTAGCCACTAAGCTGGGTGGGTTGCTTGAAGACAGACGCGCGGGTAAGAGCTGAGGTTCATCCACAAGGTCTGCTTCCGGCTTTAGCAGCCCTTTGAAAAGTGGCTCAGAGAAAGATCTCTTTGCAATTTCCATTTCCCCCTTCTGTAACTAGGCATACTGTGCCCCCTCCCGGGTCTACTCAGCTTGTGAGATGATTGAGCAGCTGGTTTTGATTGATCAGCCTGTTGTTTCCAGTGTTGGCTTAACTGCTTTTTAAAACTACCTTTTCTTAGTTTGGGTTTTAGAGATGTTGTTTGTATAGTTATTTTTAATCCAGCCACTTTTCATTTACCTTATGTTCCCTTTAATGGGCATTTGCTATTCTTGGTGGTTATTCTAGTTCTAGTTCTATCTCGTTTCTAGAACTTATAAGCGTTAGAAGTTTTTAGTGTTCTATAGATGCATTAACTTAATATGTGGGTGATTACAAAACAGTTTTTTTCCAAATGTCTTCTAAACTTTCGTCTGATATTATCTTCAAACGCAACCAATACATTTTCTCCCAAGTAAAGGCTGTATTTCCTATGAGCCGGCCAGTAGGGGGTGCTCTAGTCCCTTGCCAAACAAATAAATAAATAACACCCAAGGAAACTTCTGTAAGAGGTTTCAGGAATACATTCCACGCCTTCATAGCCGCCAACACGGATGAGATATGTTTATATAGACACAAGCAAATAGTTCAGCGTACCCGACATATATGGAACGTAGAGTTGTTATATTTTTTAAAAGAGGAAACTTTGAAAATGTTTACTTCTGTGAAATTAGCTCTAAAATAATAAATCAGCCCCTTGGCAACATACTTTCTTTCATTCTGGATAAAAGAAGAAGGAAAATAGTGTAGCTCTGGCCGGGTTTCTCAGTGGTTAGCGAGTCGGCCCTAGGATTCAATTCCTGTCAAGGCAAGGACCTCAGCTGCAGTTCCCCAGCACTGGCAGGGGTGCACGCGGGAGGCAACCCATCGATGTTTCTCTCTCTCGCCCCCTCCTTCCTCCCTCCCTCCCACTCTTTCTAGAAATCATTGGAAAAGATATCCTCGGGTGAGGGTTAAAAAAAGAAAAATGGTGTAGTGACGAAGAGCTCAGGAATCGGGGGGATTTGGGTGTGAATCCCAGCTCATCAGCTGTATGACTCAGGCAAGTGACTTAGCCTCTTGTAAGACGGGGCCCCAGGGCTCCCCCTCCAGAGGCCTGCTGGGCAGATAAGCGAGGTTGTGTGTGTAAAACATTTAGAGCCCGGCCTGGCCTCCACCAGGGTTCTGTGGCGGTGAGCCACTTTTATCAGTATTATTATTCTCATTGTTGTTGTTGTCATATATCCTTTGAGAGATATTGGAACACGTTTCCTGGCAAGGTTCCAAAATGCTCGATTGCTTATTAGTATATATGATTTAATTGGGCCAGGAGGTTGTTTCATTAAATTCCAGGAGCATAAATGATTTATAAGATAAAATGTCTTCACTTTATCTGCAGCATTTCCACTTAAGAGGCTATAAAACTGAAGCTGAAGAACTGGATCCGTCAAAGTGAAACTTCAGGCATAGCCACCCTGGGGAGGTGGCTGGAGCAGGGAGAATGGCCAGGTCTCGGTGGGGAAGGGCACAGGTGCCGTGTCTGTGAGCACTTACTGGTGAGCCCACACTCATCCACAGCCATAGGAGGCGTGGTTCCCTGAAAATAAAAAGGTTTAATTTGTGCAGAAACTTGTATTTATTTATTTTTAAAATATATTTTATTGATTTTTTACAGAGATGAAGGGAGAGGGATAGAGAGTCAGAAACATCGATGAGAGAGAAACTTCTATCAGCTGCCTCCTGCACACTCCCTACTGGGGATGTGCCCGCAAACAAGGTACATGCCCTTGACCGGAATCGAACCTGGGACCCTCCAGTCTATAGGCTGACACTCTACCCACTGAGCCAAACCGGTCAGGGCTTGTGCAGAAACTTTTAAATATCTACCCACTTTAAAAAAATATATTTTATTGATTTTTTACAGAGAGGAAAGGAGAGAGATAGAGAGTCAGAAACATCGATGAGAGAGAAACTTCTATCAGCTGCCTCCTGCACACTCCCTACTGGGGATGTGCCCGCAAACAAGGTACATGCCCTTGACCGGAATCGAACCTGGGACCCTCCAGTCTATAGGCTGACACTCTACCCACTGAGCCAAACCGGTCAGGGCTTGTGCAGAAACTATTAAATAGCAGCTTTATCATTTTCTCAGAAGGCAAAGACAATGAGATCTACCCAGTGACTGGATAGCATAGAAAAGACCTGACCGAATGCCAACTCTTCTTGATATTTCTAACTTCTTTCATTTATACAATTATTCATTCGTCCATCAGTAAATATCTATTCATCTCCCACTAAGTGCCAGTCCATGCTAGGGACCCATCAGTGAGCAAGGGAGACACCATCACGCTCTTCGGAGAACTTTCAGTTGTGGGGGTCACAGACCGGCACACGAAGTGGGGGTGGGAGTGGGCGTGGGAGTGGAGATGGGGCCGGCGGATGCTCTGGGAATATCAGGAGAGGCCAACCCAGACCAGGGGTTGTCAGGAGAGCAGTTCCAGACCAAGTGAGGTCTACAGTGAGGACAGAAGGATACTTCAGCAGTGGGATGATGGGGGTGGGCGGAGGGGGGGCGATGACGAGGTCAAGATCACTAGTCATTGGCAGGAAGGTGGGAGATGAGGCTGGAGAGGGTAAGTAGAGGCCAGGCTTTACTTGACCGTATCCGCCGTGTTAAGAAGTCCCGAC